AGGGGTTTGTTTTTTTCTTTGTTTTTTGCTTATAAATGTTAAGTTGATTTATAAACACCGCTCTAGGAAGTTAGTTTGTCTGAAATGAGGAGACTTTGTCTAAATCTGAACATACAGCAAGTGGGATTAGAAGTCATGGTGGCAAGAGAAAACCACAGCTGGCCTGCTGCAGCCAGCACAAAAACAAGCACAGCAGGGCACACGTAGGGACAGAGGTGAAACAATTTAGGAAACTTAAGAAAGGAATGTTCTGCTCTGAGAGGAAAGACATCAGGATAAAAAATTACAAGTGTTTTAACTCCAGCCCTGTCCCCAACTCAGTGAGCAAGGTGGAAGAAGACAGCTGAATCAAACAGGCAATTCTGTAAAAGTAAACTTGGAAACCCTAAAATTTTATTGAAATCTATGCTTGTTTTGCTTTTAAAAAATTAATCTCTCAAAAGGCCCACTTTAGTGACATGCTCACCCCACTGGAAAGGAACCTGTGTCAGTGATGTACTCAAGTTGAGCCACGTCACACTTCTAGACCCAGGTTTGTACAGGTACATGTGTGTCTTTAAAGGCAGCCATGAGGCTCAGGTGACTTCGAACAGTGCGCATCACTTATGTGGTAATGAAGGAGCAAGAGCCATGTTGCCCACCGTTGTACTAGGGATTGAACTCAAGACCATGTGCTTGTGAGGCAGACGGTAGCACCACTGAGCTAAATCCCCAGTCCAAGAACTTTTTCTTTTCTTTTTTTGGTTTTTTGAGACAGGGGTCTCACTATGTAGTTGAGCCTGACCTGGAACTCACTATATGTAGCGCAGGCTGGTCTTGAACTCACAGCGATCCTCCTGCCTCAGACTCTCGAGTACTGGGATCACAGGCATGCACCACCACACCAGGCAAGTTTTTCTTTTTTTTAAAGTAAGGATATCTATGAATTTCCATTTGGCTTTGTGCTCATGAAAGGGAATGGAACCACAAGTAAGGAAGCACCACAGCAAAACAAGGGCACTTTCCTCCCTGATCCCTAACCCCTCCTCTTTCTTACCTAATTCCTACTTATAATAGGAAAGTTGTTATACCTTAGGAAATACAGCTTTCCACCAAGATGAGAGAGATCCTCACCTAACCGAAGTCAGGTCTTTCCCCTTTCAGCTACTCTGAAAAAAAAAAAAAAATTCCCTCCTCCCCTGCTGCTTCATGAACACATCTGCTCTGCCCCGATAGCTACACCTACTGGACAAGCACACTTGACAAAGTGGAAAGCAGTGGTTAGTTTCTCTTCCTGTGTTCCACTAGCAGGTTAGAAAGCTTCTGTGATAGAGAAAATGGGGTACGGTGGTGGGGGCTGAAGAAGAGACTAAGAGCTTGATTCCTATTCTGGCCAAAGAAAGCAAGATTAATGGAGGAGGAGTAATAAAAGAGACTGTGCACAGTCCATTGTGTTACCATGGGGACAAGTGTGATGACTGGGAGATGGGGAAGAGCAAGACTAGGGTGAAAAGTAGGAGGGGCTCAATGCCGGAAGTCCATTCCTCTTAGTTTCTGTGCTGGAAGGGCTTGTCACCAGTCTCACTGAAAAGACCTGTGCAGCTAAAGGCTTCTGTTGCAGTAGAGGGGTCACAACTGGCAGAAAGACTGTGGTCTGCAAGGTAACCCTGCTTCTCCTGGCAGGGAATGCAGATGCTGGTGCTATGGTTGACTATGTCATCAGAAAAGTCACTGATGTTGGAGATTTCATGGAATCCAGTTAGGTGTTGGGCATTGTTCCCGCCCTCCCTGGGAGTATAGGTGCACATGTGGTACTGGTGCTGCTTGCTTACTTTCTAGATGGCCTCCTCAGTGTCATCTTTCTCCCCCATGGTCTTTGTGCTGAAGTTGGTATAGCAGCCAGTACCAGTCCAGTTCCCAGGAATGGGCTTAGGATCAAAAGTTGCTATGACTCCAAAGTTTTCACATGCACTTTGCAAGATGCAATGAGCTATGCAGAGATCTCCCACTGAGATTCTTTTATAGGATCCTATTTAGAATTCCCACTGGGCAGATATGACTTCAGCATTCATCCCATAAGCTTGACTGTGGTGTACAAGCAGGCTCAATAATGAGCTTCCACAATATTCCTGCCATAGTATTTTTCTGCTGTCACACCAGTAATATGGACCTTGGGACCCAGGGAAGCATTGGAAGGCCAAGCAAAGGGGTGCCCATTTGTCCCCATGGGAGTATATTCCTGCTCCATTCCCAACCAGTGGCTCTGGTTTCATACTGAATCAATAAGTGCTCACTAGAAAAACAGATTTAATGCAAGATATATAAATGCATAAGAATTTACAAGATTGGCTACCAATGCCCACCCACAGAGTCAGTTGTGGAAAAAATACAAAAAGGTTGTCTATGTGCTAGAGATCTAAAGGATCCTGTTGAAGGTCTGGAGTGCACTGTACGGTCCCATGTGAGTTTATATGAGGAGGATGAAGGGTCTTCCTGGAAGGCTGAAGGGTCTGTGTGGGAAGTCAGCAGATGACGTCCAAGAAGAAGGTGAAGACTGGGGTACTCTGGAGAAAGAGAAGTGAGCCTTTCTTCTTCCTTTCCCTTGTACTCCATTCATGCAACAAGCCTATTGGTCGGTGGCACCCACAGCCAGGTGGTGGCAGTACTCACACCCAGGGTGGGTCTTCTATTTTCAGTAAATCCCTTCAGTCATTCCCAGAATTACGCTGATCCAATTTAGTTGGCAATTTCTTACTCAAATTGACACAACCAATTAATTATCATATGTACCTTTTCATTATCCATTTACAGGTGTGCCCTAAATTGAATTCCATTTATACTACTTGAAAACTTTACAGAATACCTGCTTACTGTGGTCTTTCCAAAAAGGGTTCCAGAAACAGCAATAGGGATAAAGCACGCATCACCGTTGGAGCCCTCAGTCTGGAAGGTGCAAAAGCCATCAAAATCCCTCCCAGACAATGAACCTTCTGCACATTTGGGCTCACAGTTCAGGTCTTAGGGTGCAGTCTTATGGTGCAGTTCTTCTCCAGAACTGTCAGTCCAGATGTACATGGACTTTGTGGCCCTGAGGCAGGAACACATTCACCTGCTGGATGCCTTTGTTCAAGCAAGAACTTGCTGAGGTGGCTGTGATGGAAGATGTTCTGGGCCGTGAGTAGGTAGGTGCATAGCAGCTTTGAGAACGAGGCGAGGACAGTGTGGAGGACGCTGGTGTACGGCCAGATGTCTAGCTCTTCTTGTCTTTGCTCAGAGGTTTATTTTGACTCATGTTTTTTTCCTTCTTTGCAATTTTGACTCATAGTTTTAAGAAGATTCAGTCCATGGTTGGACAGCTCCATGGCAGAAGAGCATAGGAAGGAAAGGTACTCACTCTGTAGCAGGCAAGGAGCAGAGAAAAAGAGAGACCAGAATACCCACATCCAGGTCAGCCCCCAGTGACCCACCTCCAATAGACCCTATCTTTTATACCACATTCAGCTACTGAACTCATGAATGGATGAAGCAGCATCCCAGGGGTCCAGTCATCTTCCAGACACATAAGACTTGGGGGGGGGGCTTCTATCTGAATTATAATGTGGATACACAGAAAAAGCCCTGTGAGGACACAAGAAGGCAGCCATCTACAAGTCAAGGAGAGTGGCCTCAGAAGAAAACAAATCTGCTGGCATCTTGACCTCAGACTTTTGGCGTCTAGAACTGTGAGCAAATAAACTTATCATGTTTAGCCTACATAGACTGTGGTATTTTGTTATGGAATCCCTAGCAAGACAACACAGTCATATATTTGTTTTTCCTGTCATTTCCAAAAAGAAAACAACTTTTTAAACAAAAAAATTAAAATATATTAAAAACACTTGTGTTAAATCATTTCCCTTTCTTCATCAAACTCAATAAAACAGTGACATGTTCATCTTCTATAGTTTGCAAATCATGCCTACCTAGCCCTCCGCATTTTTGTTCCACATTGCTGGTGACAGATGCTGGATGCGAGTGTGAAACAGATGTAGGATATGAGTGATAAAAGAGGGGACACAATTTTAATACCCCTATCAATCAGCCTGGTACATTGGTTCTAGAAGCAGACTGAGTTCTGGTTTAACTAACTGGAAAGGAGCAGGTGCTCTTAACGATTAAAATTAAAATTGATTCTTATTATCTATGTCTTAAGTGTCTGAAAGCCATGGACGTAGTTCCTCATGGTTTCTGGTCACTTAGTCAAATATATTAAACATACTTATATTAGACAATTTAGCAGCATAGACTCCTAAGGAAGAACAAAGTTTGACTTTTTCTGTTTCTTGGCGTATACTGCACAAAACAGAAAATCTTCAGAGGGATTTACCCTGCAACTAAAAACCATGGAAAAATGGATCTTTGTGTACTATGTGAAAGCTTACTGAGGGCAGTTGAACATCAAAAATATTTTCAGATTCCCTCTAGGAACCTATAAGTACTGAGAGGAAAATAATCCAGTGTCTTAAAGATAAAAATACAGGCATTACTATTATCACTACTGTATTAGTTTAAATAGGTTGCTCATCAAAGGAATAAAACACATTTATTTATAGTATATTAAATGTAAGTGAATATATTGTTTTAATTTATTGACATAATCTTGCAGTTATTTACTAAGAGTAAATTTTGGATAATGGTCCAAAGACACATGAATAATTGGACAGGTAATTTTTTGTGGTGATTTAAATTTTAAAATCCTGTATTTCATTTTCTGTTGTTCTTTAGCATGCAGTGCTACCCCTAGAGACTGGAGATACTCTTAGCTATGCACAAACACCCTCCTTCCAGATAGTTTTCCACATACATCGCAATCTTCCCAGGGAAGATGTCTACAAAATGATGAATTCCTACCATATAATCAGCTGAATTATGATTTCTTTTTCATCCTCCACCAATCACAGTTCTTTGATAATTTCTATTGTTGAAATGGTAATTGTGGTTAAATGAAAATAGTAACTTTGAAGGGCGGTGTGATGACTTACCTCATTTAGTGAGTGGTATTGCTCGTAGTATGATGATGAGGCCCGGGGGCTGACTGTGTCATTGGAAGTCTGCTGTCGAATAAGATCTTCTACATCTCCCATCAAAACGCTGTGGGGTAAAACGGGGTGAGTTGGCTTCCATGCAAAGCACTGGCCTTCTCACGAGGCCCACTACAGGCATAACAGGTGAATATGTGGAGATAATAGCTAGCAGATCTAATAGTAGCTAGCAGTTCCTCAAGGTAAAAACATCATCACCTCACACTGTGATAAGCTGAATTCACCATTTCAGCAGAGCCTCAATGGGCACTGAGTGACAGTACCTCTGACTGGGTGTGGTTTCAGGACCTCCAAAACCTCACCCTTTCCCACCAAATCTGCTTTTCCTGATTGTGATTCTGTAACACCCCCCACAACCTATACTGAGAATCAAACTCGGGACCTTGTGTTTGTAAGGCAGGCATGGAGCCACTGAGCTAAATCCTTGGCCCTGTAATGTCTTTTATATGAACACCTAGATTAATAGACAGTGTCTCCAATGCAGAGTAATATCTTATGACTCTGTTTTCAGCTGAGGATCAAGGAGAAGCAGAAGGCTTTTTCTTCTTGTTTTCCACAGACCTACATTGGATGTTCTGCAGAGTCAAAAATGACCAAATTTTTTGAGAAATGGAAGTACAGGGAAAGAGAATATATTAGAAAGGCATCGCACTTATTGTATTAACTAGGCAAATACTTTAGCTGAATTAAAGCATCAGCATTGGGATGAGCTATTTGAAATTAGCTATCATATTAAGAAATGCCCATCAGTTGGAAACTGGATAAAGAAGATGTGGTTTTTCTATAAAATGGAATACTCCTCAGCCATAAAGAATGAGAAATTAGATTCATTCATGGGAAAATGGATACATATTGAAGATATACTCCTAAATGAAATAAGTAAGTCACACATGTGTAAATACCGAATAGTTTATCTGGTGTGAATAAACTGCAATAATACATAAGATCCTAATAAGGTTACTGACATTGTGAAATGGAAAGAAAGGGGCTAAAGGTGTAGGGAAGGTGGGATGGATAGGGGAAGGGTAATAAGGAAAAAGAAAAAAAATATGAGGTAAAGAAAAGATGGAAATAAAGTGTTTGTAGATGCGGAGGGGAGGGGGGGTGAAGAGAGGGCAGGGACAAGGGGAAAAAATGAGAACCAAGACCTGTCATGTAAAGGTACAAGATCCCAATGATAAATGTAACTGTACTGTATACCTAAAATGTACCAATAAACTCAATTAAAGCTGAAAAAGCAAAACAAAACCCAATGGAAGCCAAAAGCAGAAACAGTTTTTTTAAAAAAAGAAAGAAATGTTTCTTTTATTTACACCAGTGGGTAAAATCCAAGGTTTTGGGGTTGGGAGTTTAGATCAGTGATAGACAGATTGCCTAGCAAGCATAGAGCCCTGGGTTAGATCCCCAGCATCAACCCTGCCCCCAAAACCAAGGCTTTGACATCAGAAAGATTTCAGTTTGACTTCTAGTTCCCGTGTGTTTCAGTTGGTTAACATGGAGAAATTCTTTTTTTCTTTTTTTGAGAAATTCTTTTATAAGTTTAAAATTTTTATTTAAATTGCAATAGTATTTATCATAAGGTTGAACAAGAATTGGTTCAGCACAGTTCCTTGAAGGCTGTTAACAACTATAATATCTTACTCATAATGATGACAGCATTTTATCCAGATACACAGAAGAGAGCGTGGTCCCAAGGAAAGTATGAAGGAGGGGAGGAGAATGGCAGTCGGGCATGTCGGATAAATACCAAGGGAACAAGGGCTGGTCTCTGAACAAAAATCGTGCATAATTTAAAAACTTAAAGACCATCTATTTGTCATGCTAGTTGCTATCTTACTCCCTAATATACAAAACTGAGGCACAAAGGAGTTAATAAATCCTGTAAGATGACACAGATGGTAAGTGTCAGCGACAGATGCAAACCCAGGTTCTCCACAGAGTCAGATTTCTAGTCTAGGGCCACATATTCAGAAATGTTTGCTAACTTTGTGAAGGAAGAATTAACACATGCTAAATCCGTTCCACCCCCCAAGAGAAGCTTTTGAAAAGCGGCGTCACAAAGCCTCCCATGGTGAATGACAGTTTGGCTCTCCAGTTCTGGAAACAGAATAATCACAAAAGAGGAACAGTAAGAGCCTCTATAGATCATTGAGTCTAACCTTATTCCCAGGAAAAGAGCTGTGGTTATGAGAGATTAAACCATTGGTCACAGAGCTGGGCCTTGGGTTTTATCACCAGCCCGCCTCACAGACTTCCATGCTGCCATGTTTAATGTGCTTTATTTCTCCAGAAAGCAGTTATACCATCTCCTAATGAACAATGGACGTTTATAATAGCTGTTTGATATATATCAAATTATGCCTACCTGAATGGAATTCTGCTCTCATTTAAATGGGCTTTCACATTGCTTACATCAGACGCATTCACAAAAAAATGGACTTCTTTTTTCTTTTCAATAAATTCCGCTGTTACTGGCTGCCACAAAACAATCTATAGTTTCAAGGGGGAAATTGATTAAAAGCAGTTGTTCTCATCTGTAGCTAGAGCCATAAAAGTTGTACGTACAATAGATACATGAAAAGGAAATTTCTTGGCTATTGGTATTCACCCATACATATGATAATACAAACATTTATTTGCAGTGAGCTCTTTTTATTCTTCTTTGTAATTTTAGGTGTAAAAGAGGGCCTGGAAACTACCCAGTGTGCAATAAATATCTGACAAGACAATGAATGAATGCATATATAACTCAACTATAAAACTGGATGTGTATGTCAGTTTTTTTTGTTTTTTTGTACCAGAGATTGAACTCAGGACCTTGGGCTTGCCAGGCAGGTACCTGAGCTACATCTCTGGTCCTGTAAGCCAGATTCTTAAGAATAAAAAAACAAAATGTTGCCTAGTTGATTAGGCAGTACATTGATTTTATTTAGGCCAGGTATGGTGGTATACCCTGTAACCCCAGCACTCTGGGAGGCTGAAGCAGGACGCTCACATGTTCAAACCCGGCCTGGGCAACTGAGTGATTTAGCAAGACCCTGTTTCAAAAATAAAAACGGGCTGGAGATGCAGCTCAAAGCAAATGTCCTGAGTTCAATCGGCAGCATCCCCCTCAAAAAACTATTGGTTCTATTTAATAAAAATTCCATATACTTCATATTATTATCCTGTGAGCATTCCTTTTGGTTAACCTAATGGCCTTTGGGCAATACTTTCCAATAATATTTACCTTTTATACTATTTCAGTGCACCTTTCCAAAGACCTTTCACACTCATTTCCTTTGATCATTGTAACACAACTTTGATATAAATCAAGCAGATATTATTTTCATTGTTCAGATGAAGAAAGTAACGTTCATCACTAATTTGTCTAAACCCATACATCAAATAGCAAAATAAGAAATAAAGTTCTAATTAATCTTTGATGCTTCCTTCAGTGGTAGTTCATCTCTATCCTGGTGTGGTGGCCAAGAGTATATACCACTTAGGCCTCCTGCTGCCAAGAGTATACGTGAGCAGGGCTGAGTGTTTGCCTGTTTTAGTGGTCACTCATCCCTGGCGATCCACAGGCTGCAGCCAGCAGTGGTTGAGCACTGTGGGCACCCTGATGCAGATCCATTGCTTCCAGCCATGAGGCTCTTACAACAGCTCGTTTAGCTAAACAACAGCCCTGTGCTAGCCCAGCCTCTGTTGGAAGTGCTCTGCAGACTCATCCTCCATGCAAGACCCCTCTTCCCGCAGAGAGGCTGCACCATGCTCTGAAGGAGCTCCTTGCTGTCTCCACTTCTCTCCTTTTACTCCTAGCAAGCATTACCATTATCTGTTGCACTTCTGATTTGGTGTGGCCTCTGATTCTCAGAGAACACTGACAAAGCCATCACTTTTCTAACCATGACACTTTGTAACTCTGGTCAATTTTCTACATCTTAGACATTCTGGAGAGGTGGGTCCCAAGCGTGGAAATTTTTTAACTTCATATTTTTATTAGTACATGTTGCACTACATAGTGATGACATGCCTCATGGGGCTTTGATACATGTCCATAACTCATTGTAATTCTTTTTATCATCACCTTTCCTCCTCTCTCTCTTCGCTCTCTCTGTTTCTTGATCTCCTTCCCTTTTAGAAAAGATCTATCTCCCCTTTTCTTATTGTCCATCTATTATTTTTCACTTTATTTATGTTCTGAGTTTCTCACATATTCTTTGGTTAAGAAATTACTCTTTTATAAGCAAAATTCTATTGGACTTCTGTTATTAGAGCAACTTTACAAAGATATACAATTATGACATTGTCTGAAACCCCAACAGCACAAATGAAGGTTTGATGTTGGGAATTAACAGTCAGATGATTATGGGAAGGAAAAAGCCTATAACAAAAGAAATCAAACCAGATACATATAGGTCAGACAAAATATAAGAAGGAACATGGCATACAATACTCATACAAAATAAAACCAATATAAATATAAATTAGGGAAAATTACCTCATAAGTTGTGGTAGTATTCTGTAGAACTTGAACTTGCCTAGAAGTTCTAGGAAGAGCAGATAAAACCTGGCCACTGGGAGAAAAAAAATAAAACAAGGATTTAATGTTAAGTAAAAATGTGAAAATTAGATGCATTATACTAGGAGGAAATTCTAGGTAACTATAAAAAGGAACCAAATTTAAAATATTACCAGGACAGAGGATCTCATTCATAGTAGGTATAAAAATAAATCTATTCTTTAATTTTTTTCCTGTTAAGCAATCACAAAAGAAACAGCTCTCTTGAGTGGAGGTTTACAGAGTACTTTTATCCTGTGTTGTGTGTCAAAAAAGCAAAAAAAAAAAAATGCATTTGTCTTTATTGATACATAAAAGTAGAGAAAACTCTTGTACACTGTCAATGAGAATATAAATTGGTACAGTCATTGTGGAAAATAGTATGGAGATTCCTTAAAAAATTAAAAATAGAACACTATTTGATTCAGTGATCCTACTACTACGATAGGAAATCAATATGTCCAACTCCCATGTTTACTGCAGCACTATTCACAGTAGCCATGGAATCAATCTTAGTGTCAATCAGTGGATAAATGAATATAGAGAATGTGGTATACATGTACACACCATGGAATACTATTCAGCTGTTAAAAAGAATAAAATACTGTCATTTCTGGCAACATGGATGAACCGAAGAACCTTATGGTATGTAAAATAAGTCAGGGTCACAAAAACAAGTATCACACTGGTATATGGAATCTAAAGAAGCTGACCTCACAGATGGAGAGTAGAAGAGTGGTTACCAGAGGCTGGAGAGGATAAGGAAGAGGAGGTGATGGACAGAGACTGATCAATGGGTAGAAAGTTACCCATTTAGGTAGAAATAAAGTTTGGTGCTCTACTGCACAGAAGAGTGACTTTGGTTAATATTATACTGGCTATTTCAAAATAGCTAGAAGGATTTTGAATGTTCTCATCATCACAAAGAAATGATACGTGTATGAGATATAAATATGATAAATACTATTTGATTATTATGCACTTTATACGCATACCAAAATATCACACTGTATCTCATAAATATGTAGAAGTACTGTGCATCAATTAATAACAAAAGTAAAAATTACTATTCACTTGACATTGCATTTTCAAGATACATAGCGAATATTTATGCTAATGCTTGTTTATTTCTTTATAAATAGAAATGACTATCACCATCCCTCTTAAATCCAACCTCTTTGCCACCTTGAAGTTCCCTGTGGGTTCCTTGTACCTACCTACTCCTTTAAAATTTCACATTCTTTCACTTTTCTTTACAATATGGATTCTTAAATATGTGTATGAATTTTTGTGTGCGGATTCTTAAAGAATACACTTAGGTTTATTTGATCCAGTTTTATAAACATGTAGATGTATGTATTCTTTTGAATCTCATCTTAGCTTACTAGAACTCCAGTACAATTGAATAGAAATGGAGATAAAAATGAAAGATAATTTTTAAGGAAGATCTTCTAATGTTGCACCATTAGAATGCTTGTGGTAGATTTTTAGTGTTGCCTTTTATTAAAGAAATTCCTACTCTGCTGAATTTTTATCATGAATGGGATGGTTTTAAGAGATGAGCATATGGGTTTTGCTTTAGTTTCTTAATTTGGCATACTATATTAACAGATTTCATAAAAAGCTGACATTTGGCTTAATTTCTTATTTTTGCATTTTCTTTGCCATATTTCTTTGAGCCTTGCAACTACTATAGGGCTGTGAGGAATTCTTAAAATTTCTTGCACAGACTAGGCAAATAGATTGACATGACTGATCATGACTTTCTTTACTTTCACATGTCATTATCTCAGAAAGAGAATGATTTCTTAGCAAATTGTGTCCTATCTGCCACATTCTAGTACAGTTACAAACAATGGAACTAAGGAAGTCACTCCCTTCCATCCATTTAATTCTAAACAGCACCCTATGGCCATTCCTCCTTCCATTTTCCTAAGAGAGGTAAAAAATAAAATAGTGAAAACCCAGGAGATCTCTGACACTGTAGGTGAGAGGGCATGTGTATTGGATTTCCTATCCTGACCTTCAGTCACCTTCATCACATCCCCACTTAATTAAGGAATCATAAATAGGGGCTACATCTCACAAGTATATTTAGGATGAGAGTGAATTCTGGGAAAATTTTTTGTGGTGAGAGCCCCTGAGATGACTCAGAGAGATTCAGGGGAGGCGCCTGGGCTGAGGAGTTTAAAAAAGCCTGATTTATCCAGGTTGTTGCCATTGCTGTTTCTGTGTGCTATGATTTGTGTGTAGTGCTTTAAGCTTATATCAATTTCAGTTTTGCTTTTATTTTTGCCCTTGTAAACTTCTGGCTCTGAAGAGAATGAGCTGGAATGAAGCTTGTTACAGAACAAAGGCTAATAGACTTAGAGGGCACTTACAAATAAAAGCCTTAAAGTTGAGTGATATAAAGGTTATATGAGATTTAGGGTAATTTATATATTTATGTGTGTGTTAACATTCAGATATATACTGTCTTCCCAAAAGTCCTACTGATGTTGTTCATGGATAAATACACACTCATGATATTAGCCCAAATGCTTTTTGGTTTATATAGCTTAACAATGGACTAATTTAAATCAGTTGGTAAAAGTAAGTGCCTTTGAAGTTGGTGACACATTTTCCTTCAGGTTTTTATGATATCAAAAGTGGTCTTATGAGTACAATGCCTATTGACTGTATACAATGACTTAAAATATTATATAGATACAATTATAACCAATCCAAAATGTTAAGTATTATGATTGGTTCTCATGAGTTATTTGTAAAGATTGTTGAGGTAACTAGGGATGATAACACATCTAAATAAATATTAGTAATATATTTAAGTTGGAAATAACCAAAAGGTTCAGTTTTCCTAGCCCAGACTCAACTGTTAGAATTCACCATCCATCTGCTCCAACATGGTGACCTGGTGTTGATGAAGACCTGGAAAGAGGACAAACCATAGCTGACCTGGGAAACCCCCTATCAAGTATCACTATACTGAAGTCAGGGGACCCATAGGGAGCAATGGGAGGTATCGGGGTCACCTGAAAAACTGTTAAAGCTGAACTCTAAAAAGAGAAAGAACAAGAGCTGATTCACTCTTTGGAAGCTAATTTGGATGGATTACTATATAAAAAAAACTAGAGATTGGATTGGGAGATTAGGAGCTTGGAAAGGGTTTCTTGACTACCCCATTAAACTGATAATTAATATAACTAAAATCACAGCTTCTCTAACTTTGAGATTTGATTCCTGCCAAGTACTATCCTGTAAGTCTAAAATGTTGCAGGATCAGACGCTAGGTAGGCTTGTCCTCATGGTTGAATCTAATTTGTCTCAACTAAAGGCTACCCCAACTCACTCCCTAATTTCCAGAGCAGTGATCCTACAATGGTAGAAATAATCTAAATAAAAGATGAGGTAGGATATAAAGAGATGAAAGGCTAGGTCAAACAGGTAAAGTTTTCAGCTCAGTCTCTTAACAAAAATGACTACTATGTATGCACCATGGCAAGACCACAGGCACAGGTGGCTCCTTTGCCTTCAGGAGGAATACTGATCCATGCATTACATGGTAGTCTTATAGCAGGACAAGGATGCCTAGGAAAATGAGACTTGTAAACGTCTGTTGCTGCTGTTCCCTGTGATGCAGGAGATGGACCTGAAGGTCACTCCCTTCTCCTTGGGGAATGTGTTACTCTTCTTGACTCTCTAGGTGGGCAGAACAATTCACTGAATCCATGGGGGACTTGACTATCTGCATCTACGTCTGTCATGTCATGGGTGGACCATGCACCTACTTTTCCTTACCATTCCCCGTGTTTGGTGGTTCTGTGGGAAAAGGAACCTCCGTAGTTCATTACCTCCAAATCGGACCAGGACTGTGCCTTAGTCCAGCTGTCCGTTCCCTTCAACCTAGCATTCCATCAGTTCCCAGAGAAAGAGACTTCTCAAACTCAGAGATCCTTACCAGGATCCTTTGATCCTCACATATATAGAGAGTAAGCCGAAAAATGTATAGACCCTTCAGCAGTTTGCCATACTAATAAATGTCTGGAAGGTAATCGCCACTGCTTTGAGTGCCTCTTGTAATTGTAGACACCAAAGGGTACTTGTATTAATCTTATGATGTCTCAATAAGTTTAGTATTAAAGTACTGATACAAGTTTTTCTTTTCCTGATGTATACATTTTTTTACTCAATTGGGGTACCCAGAGGAGTCCTCAATCAATTTAAGGCAAAGAATCAGATAGCTATCAGGTTCGTGTCAGTATTCTTTTGGTTAATAAAAGCATAGATTGGATAAACTATATTTATTACAATTAAAAAGATTTATTAACTCTACAAGAGATTCAATTCAAGGCATGGCTAGCCAATTAGATGCAACTAGCTGGATGGCTTGGGAAAACTGGATTGCTCTAGATATGATATTGGCAGAAAAAGGGGGTGTCTATGTCATGTTAGGAGGAAAGTGTTGCACTTTTATCCCTAATAACAAAAGGGATCATCACTAAGGATTTACAGAGCCTCTCAACTTTAGGTAATGAACTCACTGAAAACTCTAGAATCTGTGGTCCCTCTACAGGGTGGCTAGAAAACTGATTTTGAAAATGCAAAGACTTACTGGGTTCAGCTCAGAAATCCCTCAATATTATGGCTGGAGACTTAACTGTCATAGAGTGCTGCATCATTCCTGGTGCCAGAGACCTGGCCCAAAGAATTGAGACTGCTCAGACTAAGAAAATATCTGTGGCCTAACAGTGACATAATCTCTTCCAATTAGAGAAAAAGAGTCAACTTAATGTCTTATGAAGAAAATAAATTTCCATTAGAAAGATTTGAAAACTCAAAAGTTTGAAAAGGGGACCAAAGATCCTATAATAAGGAGAGGGCGAGACTGTAAGAAGTAAAAATATTTTTGATTGGCCCATATTTCATTAATGACGCTTATAAACCCTGAGACTTAGCTCAGTCAGCTAGTAGACAAGGACACACAGGCTTTAGAAAGACTCATCTCAGATAAGGTTC